AAGTAAAGAGTATTTACTTCATTAATTAAACAGAACTCCTGAAAAGCAAAAAATATCACTCAAAAACAACGAAAGAAGAGGACCTAATAGAAGCATATCTATCAGAGATAAAAATGAAATACTATTAATAGATTACACACAAAGAAGAATCATGTCTTTATAGGTTCCCTATCAAAAAAAACTTAAGTGCCACCCAAGTATTAATAATTTATGATAACCTTCAAGCAACAGAAGCAGGAGATATCATTGTCCCTGCTTCGGCTTCAGCCAGCAGAATCTCCAACAACGGTGAACCTCTCCCTTCAGCACCAGCTTCAGCTATGGCCATCAGGAACTTCATTCCTCCACAGGCGGCCTCCACCTGCTCTTCATCGGGAAGAGGCTCTTCCAGTATCATTCTCAATGCATCTGCCGGTACTTCATAGATCCTAACCTGTGGCTCAACTGGATCCTTTTCACGAGACATACTTCCCTTCAGTCAGCTTCATGCAAACGGTCCCACAATGGACTTGACATCCGCCTCTCACATATTAAGAAGTATTCACAGATGATCTGAGCTGCAAAATCCCTTGGCTTATACCAAATCACACTAAGAATGTACATGATTAAAAATGATCGCCTAGGGTGAACTCTTGATAACATAGCCCAGCTTCATCATATCAGACACCTGTCAAAGAAGAGCCTGGGCAGTCCATTTCTGCAAGCTTGTTTTTGCATTGTTCTTCGAGCTCAGTGGCAAGCACAGCTTTCCCCTCTGGGTCTCCAGCTTCTGCATTCCAAATCCAACCCAGAACTACTTAGGATCAAACTCATTTACATGCATCAGAGTTGAGGAAATGCACGCTGGCCTTACGTCCGTGACACTTATGGGACCTCACAGCGAGCAATGAGATGGGTGTCCCATCTAGCTTCAGCGCCAGTAATCTATAAGCAACAGAGGCCACCTCCTCACCCTCTGATGCAAAGGCGGTTGGGGCCTTCATCAATTGTGAGCTTGGTTTGCATCTACGGAAAAAGCTCCTGTTGGGGAAATTCTGGTTATGTAAGTAGCTTTTCAACCGCAAGGGAATGGAGAATTGATATCCCTCCCTTTTGCCCTCAGGAAGCGTCTCCGATGAAGTCCTCATTCACAGACAGTCAAAGATCAAGCTGAGACCATCGCGCTTGTCAAAGAAAAGCTTGTTGCCACAAGCGCTGGAATATAATATCCCAAGAATAACACAGAACGGGGAGCTGCACATAAGCGCCGAGAGAAATAGCATCGGTAGCGAAACACGAACAGGCGGCTTTATCCTCGGTTGGCAGGCGGACGGATAACTGGATCGTCACGTAGTTTGTAACCTTGAAGAAGTTGCGAGACTTGAAGCGTTCGAGGCGGCGCTCGGTTCTTAATAGGGTTGATACATCGACAGATGTTCCAATAATGGACATTCGATGGCCTGCCGCAGACGAGGAGATCCTCCCGGGGGGATCCGGGGACCGAGAAAAAGAGGCTTGGAAAAAGGTGGAGAAAGGGATCTATCGAGCATAGTCCACTCAAGGCCTGGATGTTCGACGGAAGGACACTTGAGAGTGGGGGAACATCAACGGCGACTTCCCGCTGACCTCCTAGAACACCAGGTGGCTTGGGAGGATCGGTTCTGATTGTAACAACGGTCACGGAGCGAGCAACGCCTCCTCTCGTGCCTTCACGCTTGATGAGCCCTCGACTTCCTCGTGTCGCGTCCAGAGTCTGTAGGGAGCTTGAGGACGCTGTGAAAGGCCAGCGTGGCCAAACTTGGGGGCGAGGAGGGGGCTACCATCAACCAGACGGAAGGAGGAGTCATTGTCGGCGGCTTGCGGCCAGAGCGGCAGAGTCAAACTCCCTCAGGGCAAAAATCAAGACGGCGTCCGCGGCTATTGCCGGAGCGGGCGGAGGGGAATTATAAGAAGTTGGTGTAATGCGAAGTTCCATCGGCGGAATGCGCCAAGCTTGTCCCGGAGCGAAGAGAATGGTGCGAAATGGGAAATGGGGGCGGTTGAACGCACGCCTGTCCGGGGGGATGGTAGGGCACCGAGTTGGGGTGAGTCCGGCGGAGCCACCAGCACATCGGGGATTGTATGGGAACGTATGCCTAGGTTGAAGCCACATGGACATCCAATCAATGTGAAAAGCGGAGGGTAGAGCTTTGGAGGCGGCTCCAAATTAGGGTTTTTTCTTTCTTAGAGACGATCGGTTCAATTTATTAGATCTTAATTCCATTTTAAGGGGCTGTTTGGTATTAGGTTGGATTTAATAATCTGAATTTAGTAAATCTGAATTTAGTAAATTTGAATCAATCAAACTTTGAAAATTATTTGGTATGCTAAATATAAAATTCTGTTAAATTCTGAAAAAAAATTTTGACAACAAATCTGAGGATTTAAGATTGTTAAAGATTTAAATATGAAATTAATTGCTTAAATAATTTTTAATTATTAATTATGTTATTAATTATCTCATTAACTATTTAAATATTATATAATTTATTTTTCATCTTATCCATTTCATTGTTTCTCCATTACTTCGTTATGTTGCTTAGATTAATTTTTTTTGTTTAGATTAAAAAAAACATTAAGTTAGATTAAACTAATATAATGTCATTAGACTATTAATAATTTAATTAAAATAAGTTAGATTACTTAATTTTACTATTAATTAATTAATTAATCTGACTAATTATTAATGTTTAAATTATATTAGTAGTGTAACTTTATACTATTTTTATAATTTAAGACTTGCCTACCTCTCTTCTCATCGTCGCCATTTCTTTATGGTTGCTTCAGTAGCATGTTTTACGTGCTTAGAACGACTGAAGCTAATTTGAATGGAGGAACGAAGAAGAATGAGAGGTAGTTTTGAACGATTCACTTAATAACTTCTTCCTTTGACGATGTTCCTTCATATCATATTTGAAAACCACACCTTCTAAACATCCTCTGTTGGATCAGAAGTAACAACGATAATGGGAATTTGCTCTTGCTCGTTGCCAAAGTAGCCATCTTTCTTTCTTTCGCGCGCTTCTTTAGCCAAATCATGTTAAATCCATCGAATAACAAGATTTATATTTAGGCGGATTTACTCGGATTTATGTTGTAAATCCGTAAATCCCGAATTGACGTAGGCATCAGATTTACGCGACCTCAAAAAACCGTTTGGTTGGATTTACCTCAAATATGCTTTAATCTTGTGGCGAATCCGATACCAAACATCCCCTAAGAGTATTGCATGCATTAATTATTATAAGGGGCATTTACATGCATACCATTTTATATTTTATTATTTATATATTTCTAATACTTAACATTTTA